TAAAGATATAAATAAATATAAAGTAAAGAAGATACTTAAAGTATAAAAAACTAAAAAGAATTATTTTTATTTTATTAAGTAGAAAGGATACTTAAACTCTAAAAATATATAAAAACTACTTAAGAATCTATTTAATTACTTAAAACTACTTAACTAGTTTTACTCTAAAGAAAAGTAGTCTAGTTAATCCTATAAGGACTATTAAGGGACTCTATACTAAACTTAGCCTTAAAGGAATAAACTAAAAAAGGATCTAACTCCTTAGATAAAGTAAAAAAAGCACCTATAGTCTTTTAAAGCTTAAACTTAGTTCTAAAAGAATAAACTAAAGAAGGATTTAACTCTTTAGATAGAGTAAAAAAGATATTAGTAGCCTTTTAAAGCTATTCTACTTCCTTTTATTCTATACACTCTAACTCTTTAATATTATTAATACTATATATAATAGTATATATTATTTTCTTAAACTATAACTTCTTTTATTTTTAAAGACACTTAATCTTAGTGTTTATTATATAATATTCCTCCTTAGTTATTTTAAGCTCTTACTTAAAATATATATAGTAATTAACTATTTAGTAAAGTTAGGCTAGTAAAATACCCTATATATTATATTAGGATTAGTAATCTATTATATACTAAGTATAATAAGAGGAATTAGAAAATAATAGTTAGTAAAAAGTAATACCCTTCTTCTAATAATAAGAATAGGGACCCATCGTGTGTCTAGGATTACAGCGTAGCTACACAAAATAATAAATTCTCCTTATCTTAAAGTATAATCAGTCATAGTTAAGACAAATAGTGCCTATACGATAGATGCGGTGACAATTGCGGTGATCGACCACAAATAGATAGCTACGAGGTATGCACAGCTTCGCGCGACACACCAGGGCGGAGCTCACCCAGGTCGCGCGTCCTCGCGCGATTGGCCAGACGGGCGAAGGATTTCCGCACGGTCATGCTATTGCATCTCAATCCTTCTCCCACCTGGACCGAGCACTCTTGGCCTGTGTAACTGTCTGAGCTCTACATCGCCAGGTGTCTCCCCCAGCAGGCCGGACAGCAAATGCGTGAGGGGCGCCATGAGCGCTGCTGGCACAATCAGTCAGGCACTCAAGAAGACACTAGTCGCGCTAAACAACCCATTCTTGCTGCCCATGGCGTGCACGTCTGCGTGTATGCTGGCGCTTCTGCGGAATCAAATGCACGAATCAGACCGTGCACAGGCCCGGGGAGCCATTGATGAGATACTCAACGTGGTAAATCACATTTCGATCAAATTCCCCGGCGCAGGAGCGAAAGCTCAGGAGGCGATTAAGCAGAGACTACAGGACCTCGAACACGGCGCTAGAGAGAATTCATCGAGCTGTCATATCGGGTTAGATTGCGAATAATATTGTGTGTCTGGCAGGTCAGATGTTGGGCAGTAGCCGCAGCACAGGAGGCAGAAGGCTGCAAAAATGTCGACTCGCATGGAGCGCACGGCTAGCCAAGAGACAATGGCGTCTGAGAGCTTGTCAGTACATAAAGCAACCCTCTTTGCCGCGCTATGGAATATCTACACAGGCTCGGCGCGCGCTGGCACAGGCAGAGTAGCTGAGTCTCGATACATCATCCTGATCTCTATCATTCTGCTTATCGCACGGTGCGAAGGTCGGGGAAGACAATCCTTCAAATCTCACTCCTGTGGTTACACTACAACCTTGACACCACTAACCTTGCCATCATTCAACAAGTCCAAGCCGTCCTGAATACCAGATAAGCCCCTTTCAATCTTCGAGGCAGGATTTGGGAAGATATCGCCTGTCTGCAAGCCGCGCGGGAGATACTCGCGCGTGAACCAGTTGCGCAGCTTGCTGTGCGCAGCATCAGAGACCAAGTCCTCCGAGTAGCTGGACCAGCGTTTAGTGATGTTGACAGGTAGTTCGCTGTCATTTCGCGACGGGCTGGTGGAGAAGAATACCCCGCCAGCTTGACCGAGCAACTTGGCCATGATTTCTGTGCCCGCCTCGGTTCCTGTGGCGTCCAGAAGTGCGTGATATGGCCCCTGGTCGCGGATGGACCGGACGACATCAACGTGAGGCTGCCTATGGTTGATAATGGATGCTGGGTTTCGTCGTCGGACAAGGTCTTCATTCGCGGGAGAGCTTGTCGTCACGACGTCATACCCCGCATCGGAGGCAAACTTGACAGTGAGACCGCCAATGGCTGTTGAGCCGCCGTAGACCAGAATTCGCCTCCCGTTCTTTTCGCTTTTGCCCGAGGCTGCGGGTTTCACGAGACCCATGTGGATAATAACAGCCGACACTGCAGTCGTCAGGTTGGCAATGACACCCGAGCCGTCCTCGAAGGATGATTCTGCCCCCAGTTTCAGAACATTGCGTTCCAAGGCCAACGGGTACTTTTGAAATGCTGCAAATCGGGTTTCCCGAGCAGTTGCACCCCAGCGAGCTACTGCAACACGGTCACCCGGGGCCACGTAGGTGACATCGGGGCCAATGTCGGTGACTGTGCCGGCATATGTGAAGCCTAGCACAGCCGGGAACTCAAGATTGAACATGTTGTATCTGCATGGCGGGTTAGCCCAGTGTAAATGGCCACCGTTACATGCGCAAGACCGTCTGGGGCAGCACGGACTTTTGGACTTTGCCCTCGATCGGATTAAGGCTGATGACCTCGTTGCGCACCCGGATCTCACCTAGGCCGGGCGTCCAGTTGTCGATGCTGTCGACCTTGAGTCGCTCGCTGGCTCCATTGATCCATGCTGCTTCATTCTTGTCGCCGTTGGCTGCCATGACTGTGTTGCCGTTTTTGTACACCAATTTCTGAACCGGCGGGAGGAGGGAATTGGTCAAGGAGACAAGGGGAATATAAATAGTTCGTACTCTTGGTAAGCCAGCATCGAGTCTTTTTCAGCACTGTTACTTCCGAATCTGACTACAGCAACCTGGCCGCCGAATTAGTCATCGCTTTTTTCTCCTACCTTGAGAATCGCATTCAGTACAGCCAAATCGGCAACGAGTCCCTAACCAGAGCACAGGAGGAAACTAAAACGGCTGTGGCTAGTAACTAGTCGCGTAACCAGCGCAAGACTCCCGCCAATGTTGATTAAGCGGTGATTCGAAGTGGAAAGCTGGAAGAAAACAGCGATGACTAATTCGGGCGCATGTGGCACGCCGATTATACTACGTAGTATGCTTACAGGGTTGTGTTGGCAACCGCGTCGCACATGTCAAGCTGGTGAAGATCGAGTGCACAGGGAACGGCAGTTCCAGAGCGCACTCGGATCCAGGCGAGGAACGACTATGATCACCTAGCTACTACATTTGATTTAAACTGTCGCGATGACTTGCTATTGCATCGCTTTGCATCTTGCGACGATGCGCTTAACTGGCAACTCGGCATACGTAGTCGGAAGCCCTCATCCCGTTCTTTTTGACTTCATTTGGCAAAACATGTACCATCGGATAACGGCATTTTTTACTCCGTTTACCATGACTTTATTTTTCTTGCAAACGTCTGTCAGTTCGAGGTCAGGTAATTGATCGGATGGTCGGATCTGCACCATGTCTGCAAAAGCGGCTACGTGCAGCGGGTAATTAACGGCCTTAGCCGAAGTGCATCATCCGACAACCACGCAACGATTAGCACCCCAAGCTGAATAATTACTCACTGTCGCACTTGCTGGACAAAACCCCGGGACTGCCGGCCCGTGGGCGGGCGACCATGGGTGCCGGGTTCCGACTAGCCGCTACCTCGCGTCTTCTAATGCTGCCGACCAAACCAGCGCCAGCAGAGCATCGGGCATTTCGGCTTCAGAACCCGTAAAGGCATTTCGAGGATGGAGATGGTATTAAATATACAGAGGGCTCGTCGCTAGCACGAAACATCATTTACTCCATTAACAATAGTTTAACATTAGACTTACGAGCAAGGCATAATTTACAGTCTCCATAAATGGCACCGCAACATACGACCAACGTGGCAGCGGATATGCTCATTCGCGCCAAGAGCATTTACACACTGGATCCTGATGTCCCTGTTCAACGCTCCATTACAATCCAAGGCGACACCATCTACGGGATCTCTCCAGAGTCGAACGGTCTTGATGCACTCATTAGGCCCGATACACGAGTCATTGACGAGCCCCAAGCCACTGTGCTCCCAGCCTGTGACGACTCACACACTCATCTCATTTTTGCCGCTCTTGGTCAATTTGATGTCGCCTTGCATGGCGCCAAGACATTGGCAGATGTGCTGCAGGCGCTCGAGGATCGCGCCGCCAAGACGCAACCCGGCAACTGAGTTTGCTCCTGTACAAACTGGCAAGAGTTCAACATCAAGGAGCAGCGGCTTCCGACATTGCAGGAGCTGACGGTATCAGCACCGAGCACCCAATTCTGGTGCGCCGCGGCGGCCACAATGCCGTCCTCAACTCAAAGGCCCTGGCGCTGGCTGGCGTGACAGAGACGACGGAAGTGCCTCGGGGCGGCAAGATTGGTAGAGATGAAAAGGGGCGTCTGAACGGGCTCTTGCAGGACGCTGCCTTGAGCTTTCTATTCAAGGCACTGCCACGCATCTCCCTGCAAGAAAGAATCGCGGGACTAGAGGCGGCGCGCGCCTCGTACGCCGCTGCCGGCATTGGCTGTGTCCGGGACTGCTTTGTCACCATTGACGACATGGCAATCCTCAAGCCCGCCAGGGACGCTGGTAGGCTGCATACGCGTGTGCGTGCGCTTATAGCATCCCTCGGTGCCACGACAGTTGCCGACATGAACGCGCTTCTCGACACGATGGAGCCGTATCGAGCATTGCAAAACGACCCATGGCTATCAGTCTGGGGCGTCAAGTTCATGATTGACGGGGGCATCGAAGCCGGTGCGACTGAGGATGCATACTGTAGCGAGGGCTGCGGCTGTCCCGTCGGTGCTACGGACTTCCGCGGCCGGCTGCTGTGGGAGCCGGACACACTCGTGGACGTCATGGATGTCGTTCTGCGCCGTGGCTGGCGTATCGGCACTCACGCGTACGGTGACAGGGCCACGCAGAATCTGCTAGACGTGTATGAGAAGCTGCTAGAGCGTCACCCGGACCTGCCCCAAGGAAGTCTCGTCATGGAGCACGGCGCACTCGCCACCAAGGATCAGCAAGACAGGGCCGTGGCCTTGGGCATCCCCGTGACCATCCAAGCGCCGCTGCTTCACGACGTTGCCGGAATTCAAGAGATCTACTGGGGCCGCGAGCGCGTCAATCGAATCTTCCCTGTGCGCCAGTGGATCGATGCCGGCGCGCTTGTCACGGCAGGCTCAGACTTTCCGGTCGGTCCGTACGGCTCCATGTTTTCGCTCTGGGCCATGGCCACGCGTAAAACGGTAGTGGGTGTCCGCGGGCCAGAGTATGCTATTACGGTGGCCGAGGGAATTGTGCTTCATACTACCGCGGCGGCGAAGCTCTTGGGCGAGACGGACAAGCGAGGGATGCTCGTCCCGGGACGGTTTGCGGACCTGAATGTCTGGAACAGCGACCCGTATGAGGCTGCTCAGAATGCAGATTCGAGACTGGAAACGACGCTTTATTCCATAATTGGCGGGCAGGTGAAGAATTGTCCTGCATCGTAGGGTATGAAACCGATTAGCAAAAAAGAAAAGAGAAATAAAAAAGCCCGACCAGTTGGGGCACAATATTAGAAACGCACGTTGTTAGTGAATAAATATGCGTCTCTCCTCTGCTGTATCGACGCGCGATTGTAGTAGCTTAAACAAGAAACCCTCGCCACGCTTGAGTGTACTAAACCTTCACCCACATGTTCAACATGAGCCGCGACCCGGTAAAGCAGCCTACGCTTGCGACACTTGATCACCGCGGTAACGTTTAAGGTGTCCAGCTGCATCTCGAGATAGTGGCGTTCGCCGAGCGCGAGCCCAATGTTTTCCAGCCAGGCAATGGCGCCGACAATCTCGGTCGACCAATGCCCAATCTTGGCTTTCGGCTCAGTGGGCTTCACTGCCAGACACTTATGGGCGGACCGGTCTCGTTGGCCCAGAGGCGGTCCGCGAGCGCGTGCGAGCGGGCTATGAGCGGGCAGGCGGAGGAAGCTTAGCTGGCCATGTACTTCCTTTGTTGACCCTCTGGTTGGAGACGAACCTCCGACCATTAGACATCAACGGTAAAACTTCCGCCAAAGCTCCACGTATTATCCATCGCAGTTCCGGAAAAGTCTAGCTTGCGATGACTGGGCCTCTGGGGCAGTTACCCTACACGAGGCCTGTGCATCTAGGTTGATAATTCATCGCCGTTCTTATAAATTGGTGGTCCAAAGTCTTCGCATACTCTCCGGCATGATTGCAGTCTTTCTCATCTATTATAATACTATCACTTAGATAATACTACCACTTAGATAATACTACCACTTAGATAATAC